GGTGGGTTGGTGGTGCCCCCAGGTCATGTGTGTTATTGTTGGTGGATTTTGATGGTGGTTTGTGTACGGTGGCCCCAAGTCTTGTGAGGATTATTAGTACACAAGTGTTGTGTGTTATTGTTGGCGGGTTGATGGTGCCCCCAAGTCATGTGGGTTATGGTTGGTGGGTTCATCTTAACGCCAATACTTGTGTGGTTATTGGTGGTGGGTTCATGATACTCAAGTCATCTGCGGGTTGAATGTGGCCAAGTCTTGTGTGGTTTTGGTGGGTTCATGATGGTGCCTCCAAGTCATGTTGGAGTCTTATTATTGATGGGTTGATGGTGCCCAAGTCATCTGTGGGTTTATTCGTGGTGGGTTCATGATGGTGCCTCCAAGTCATGTTGGAGTGTTATTGTTGGTGGGTTCATGATTTTAGCCATGAACGGTCAAAAATGGAGCCACGACCCACCAAAAACTAAGTCAAGGCCGATGAGAATTTTAGCCATGACCGGTCAGAAATTGAGTCACCCTCGATCAGAAATTGAGCCAGGCTCGGTCAGGATTTTAGCCATGCTCGGTCAGAAATTTAGCCAAGCTCGGTAAGGATTTTAGCCACCCTTGATGATGGAGGAGGCCCATGGGCCAAAGGCCCAACTACTAGGGCTATGGCAAAGAGGATTCAAGAAGAGTGGGCCCATGCTCAAGAAAAGCCCATCACACTTTTTAGTTGGGCTTTGAGTCAATCCCAAGTAGAGTAGAAGTACTGTAGGTTTGGGCCTTAGGGCTTGTATTTTATTTTGGGCCTTGTATTTCGGCCACTTAGTCTAGGAATTTCATTTCATGGTCATTTGGATTTAGGGTTAATTTAGGGTTACATGTGTTTAGTCATTTTCATGTAATTTGCATAGCATTTGGTATGCATTTCGGCCATGCGCACACATGCACATGGTGTGACCGAAATGTAACTCAAATGGATGCCAAATTACATCACAAATGAGAAGCACATGTGTTGGTGACCGGTTGGCACCAAAATTTGAATTTTTGAATTCAAATTTTGGCGCCTAAGGTTAAGTAAACCATACCATGGTTTCGCTTAACCTTAGGCTAACCCACGGATAACCATTAACCTAATTTTCCCTATAAATTCATCTTGGCTGAAGTTTGTAACACTTTTGGACATAATTGAATGAGAATTCTTCATTTGAAATCTCTCCCACCAAAAGTCTCTCTCAACCTATCTCTACCCTACTTGAGCTCCTCTCTTTGTAGAGCTAGGTTGCTTCACTTCTATATGGACTTAGCTAGAGTCAAGCTTGGTCACACTTGTTCTTCTTGGAGCTTCATCCCTTGCATTGCTTCCAAGGAACCGAGAAGGATTAGAAGGCATTGTTTGAGGATTCTTCAAGTGGAACCTCATCAAGTGGTATCAGAGCTTTGGTCATCAAGAGATAAGTGTTCTTGTCTTTTGAATGGTTGTATGATTCGTGTTCATCTTTGTGTTCTTGTCAATTGTTGAGTTGATTCTTTCCTAGATCTAATTGTGCCTAAAATTGATGGATCTAGTTGTTGATGTCTAGGAGTCAGATCCTTTCTTAGGGAACCAAGTGGAGAAGATTGGTAGAAGTATAGATAACCATTTCTGAGTAGAAATCGACATTGTTTTGAGGTGCAAGAACAAACTTGGGTGCTTAGTAACCTTGAATTAAGAAAGATGATTTTAGAGGAAGGACATAACAGTACTCTTAACATATATTTAGGAGCTAATGAGATGTATCAGGACCTTAGGAGGAGGTATCAGAGTGGTGCAGTCGAAGCATGGTGGCCTAAGGTGAAGAGAGGAGTAGAGAAATTGTATACTTTTGTTTAGTATGCTAGAAGTCTTTAGGAATTTTTGTAGCGCTTAGACGTCCCATTTTGGAAGCGGCGGACGGCCGCGGCAGCGAAGAAAAAACCCTTAAAAAAATAGGAAAAAAATTGCCGGAAGGAGACACGAAAGGGTGGGTAGTTGGAAAACGGAATGAGACACGTTCTCCGGGCACCGATGAACAGTGGGTCCATGAACAGTGGGTCCACCGGGAGGTCAAGGATTAGGCTCTAGATACCATGTTGAGAGTAATGGTGAATGGAGAGAACATATTCCTTGTGTATTGCAAAGCACAAGATGTGTTTAAATACAAAGTAGTGGGCCTAGGCCCATAAGATAAAAACTATAAGATAAAAACTATAAGATAAAATTATATCTAACAGCTAAGAAGAGATGAACTGAGGCCATCTTCGCAACTAGAGAGAAAGTGTCACTATAGTCCAAACCATATAC